CTTTAAGTAAGAATTTATTGTTAGAACCTGATATGACGCCAGCTTGAACACCATGAAAATGTGACCCTTGACAATAAGGGCAGGCAGGCCTGCTTTCCATATCCATCACTAGGGGGAAATCAGAGACTTCACCTCTGATTGAATCTTCCAGCTAAAACCTGGCACTTCATTAAATCCCTGAAATGCAAAATTTTTTTTCTTGGTGTTGGTGAGTCTCGTCCAGACAAAGCCTGGAGCTCTTAAACTCACCTCCTCAAGAGCTTTGCTGAGGTATCTCAGACTGTTTATTGTTCTAACAGAAGTAGTTTGAAAGGAGAAAGTAGCTTTCCAGTTATGGAGGCAAAATTAAACTATCTATTCGCAAAGCCTTGGAAAATATCACAGGCTAAAGACTCTCCACCCCCTCAGCTACTCATGTTATCTGTGACATTTGGTGTGTGAATCATCTTACAATACCAGTGCTACTGAGCAAAATTTGTCACATAGACCCCTGGCTGAGCAGTGGGGACTATAAAAGTCTCCTGGAGAGGAAAGAAAATAATTGGGAAATTACCTGATAATGAGAGTCAGGGAGCAAACAATTTAAAGGACTTCATTTCCTTGTCTCTTCCTCCCTGCCCCACATAGACAAATTGCTAAACATCCTGAGAGAATTGGGAGGATGAAGAGCAGCTTTGACTTTCCAGGCTCCAACCCTGTTTCTCTGATGACTCCAAGAGACAGTAGAGCAGGATAAACTCTATTTTTCTCCATTACATAACCCTTTAACTCCCTGTGCAGGAAGCCCATTAGACACTGATAATGTGTAGGCCATTGGTGGAATAATCTCAGATATCCTTCCTGCCCAGAGATGGACAGCAACCTCCCCTCTTCCTCGCTCAGTTGATTAAAGAGGTACCGGAAATGAGAAAAAGCAGGAAACGGTGAAACACAAGTGACATGCAGATCTCTTATCAGAGAGCTGAGAGCATCAAATGGGGCCAGAGCACTTGGCAACTACACAGATGTGACCCAAGGAGATTGGAAATGATGCTCTTCCTTATCAGATACAGTTGCCTAAAAATAACTATCTAGATTGGCCCGGGGCTCAAATCAGATGAGCTTTGGACTGTCTTTGCACCGTCCTCAATCAACTGCTGCACACCTCAACTGGCATCACCAGGGCTCCACATGAGCTGGCACCAGCTCTGAGGGGTGGAAGCTACTCAAGGCTCCCCTTGAGCTTGACGGACAAAATTTTCTTGTCTCCAGCCCCAGCACCTACAAGCCCACACATGGGAGCCCCACAATTCTTCAGCTCATGCACCCCATCCAGACCAACACCACAGCCCAGTGTCTACTGGCTCTTCTTCCTGCCGGGCCCTCACCCACAGGCAGGGACGTCCCCTGGGGAAGGCAACGTCTCCTGGAGGACCCTCTGCTGCCCTTTGCAGGGGAACTTTCCCAAGCCTGCTTTACCCCATGGGAGACATGAAGAGGAGAAGAAAGGGGGAAAAAATGGTGGGTTTTTTTTTTTTTGACATTTGTCCTGCTTGCGGGTGAGAAAACCTCCATGCAGATTTCTGCTAGGCAAATATCAGCTCTCCCCTTTGCTAGAAAGGAAAAGCTCTCACCAGGCAGCTCTGCTACACATTCAGAGCTTCTCCGCAGAGTTCTAATATCCCTTCCATGCTTGGCTCTAAGCTGCTTTTATTAACAAATGCTTTTCGGGGGGGAGGGGGAGGGAAATCACTTTTCATCCAAGGTTTGCAACTCAGATTCTTCCGTTCCTAAGCCCCAGCCAAATTTAAAACTGTTTTATAGGCATCTCTCCATATATTTGTTGTTTGTGCAGCTTAGAGCTTTCCAGTCCTGCAGCTGCAGGACATGGGTTTTCAGTCATTTAAAACGAATCTGAATCGTTTAGGGGATATAACATTTCTGAGTAATGACAAAAGTATATGTTATTGTGTTGTTAACTTTGCTTGGAACTATACCGTGGTTCCGCCTTTCTTATTAAATGCCTGAGCAGGAAATAATGCAATATTATGTTAGCTGCTAATGCAATAATTGTATTCTTAGATACATGAAGCCTAAACTCAGATGTATGCTGAGTATATTACAAAACAGAGAGTTGTGCAGTGTTCTGAGAAGTATATGCAATAATTTCTGGTTTTCACCTCTACGGATGATAACATCCTTTTCACACGGAATATGCAGTTATGCACTTAGCACAAACTTTTCTTCCACATATTGAAAACAGCATGTTTCTTTCAAAGCTACTGCATCTCTACCAAACACTACAGGTTACAGATTTTCTTTCCTCGTCCCACTTTGAAGCACAGTTCACATTCACGGGCTTTGTCTCTCTGTAAGGACTGGTGAATGTGTATAACAAGGCTACCTAATCCCCTGAGGGTACCTCTTATAACAATCTGTTTCTCTGTGTTGGAATATCTCCTTTCTAGCCTTGGGGACCATTGGATAAATCAGATGCCAGCCAGGACCTGATGATCTCACCCGTTACATGCTTTCTTTGAGCAGAGGGAAGCCATAAGATGGTTATAACAGTCCAAGGGGAGCCTTCGTGCCCCCTCCGGCGCTTGGTCTCTGGAGCAGAGCACCAGCCTCAGCAGAGCTGGTTTCTAAAGGCCTTTAGAATGCTCTAAACCCTGTAAACCCAATCAATTAAATGACCCAGAACTCTGGGCTTCATTTGAATTTAAAAAGCCCCAAGTACCTTCCTTAAAGTTCCAGTTCTGCTTTATCCACTTCTAAGCTGTTTGAAGCTTGCCTGGTCCTGGTTTCAAGTTTGCTTGGAAGAGGCATTTCTCACTCCAGCAGTTCTGCCCTCTCTAACGCTCTCTGAGGAACCCTCCAGGGAAGAAGTATCCGACAGTGTTGTTATTCAGTACAGAAAACCTCAGATTAGGACCTTAGGTTCTGCTAAAAAGTAAGTAGTAGTAACGGTGGGCTCGTAGATGGAGGGAGCTGCCTCCTGCAGCGCGGGGCTGTGAACCCGAGTCGCTGAGCAACTCTCTGCCTTGCTGCACTCTTCAGCAAGAGGATGCCATTCTCATACACTCCAGTGAGAAGTGCTTTACAGACGCTGATTACTAACAACATCCACAGGGCTCCTAAGAACTTCATTTTTTTTTCCTGTCTGCCTCATCATTCCTCTTTTCACTTTAAGTGTCTCTATAAACTACTTTAGCACCTTTATACATCTCTGGAAAGCAGTGGCTCTCTAGAGCTCTCATCTAATCAAGTTCACAGACTTGCATTTTGGGATTGTGCCATTGCCTTTCTTGAGCAAGGACTTGAGGCCTGGCAGAACTCCCACCTGGGGCACTGCTATCTATGAATCACTTCTATTTTCCACAGAAAACAATCAAAAACTTCAAGCGACTTGCTGTGTTTCATCAACCCTAGTGAAGCAATTTATCCTTCAGTGGAAGTGTGTGTGCACATGCAAGCTTGTGTGTATACATCTCAATGAATGAAAATACATTTCAGGAAATAAACACAATAGAAGCCCTCTATTATTATAATTCTGTTTACTAGCACAAGCAATGAGTTTGTCTGCAGTGGAAAAAGCACAGCACCCTTCCGACAAGGCACCTGGGGGTTATGTCATCACACTAAGAGCACAGATTAATTCAGCAAGGATTCTTGCTTTTGCCAGCTTCTGCCATGCCAGAAACAAATTCACCTCTGCACAGTTGCTGCAGAGCATTTGAGACCTGACGGTCCTGCTGCTAGGGAAGAGACTCCCATCAGCAGTTAACTTGCTTCCAGGTTCAGGTTGTTGTCAGCAACTGTTGTCAGCAGCAGCTCGTTTTCTTGTTTTAGACAGGACCTAGTTAGCAGTTCTTATACTGCCTGGTCCCCGCTAGCACTTCTCTATTTTCCCAGCTGAGAGATACCAAAACACAGAAAATTTATGGCTATTTCTCTTTGGCTCAAGATGGTGCATTACTGAGAAACACATCCAGCTTCTGCAGCTCTGAAATTCCCAGCGGTTTACACAGCCTATTACAGAAAACACCTTGTAGGATGACCTACACCTATCTGCTTTCAGTCTTTGTCTGCAGACAGTGCCAAGAAAAATTTGGTGTTCCTCCAGGATACCCTGAATATATTTTAGGTCTATGCCTTGCCATCAAGGTGATAACAACAACAACCTTGGAATAATAACCCTTGTTATTCCCTCTACTGGTTCTAGCAGACAAATATTTGGTTTGGTTTCCATACATAAATCTTCAGACAGATTGAAAACAAACAATAATAAATAAAAAAAATACCAACAGCATGAGGGGATAGCTTAGCAAGGAAGAGCTTATTGCAGCCGATTTCCAGCTGCTGTCCATCACTGGAAGCTAATCCACTCAAACTGCCTCGGACAGAGCAAGCCTCCAGACAAGAATCATCCCACCTATTTTATCCCCCTGCATTTTCAGCTGAATTCAGTACAGTTCACATCCTATACACACATAGCATTGCTGTATCATACCAGAGAGGCAGCTGCATTTCAGTAAATACAAAAGCATTTTTTGGTCTACTTTCGCATGAAGGGCACTAATGGAATTGACTTGTCAGATCATTTCTCCCTGGAAACAGGGAGCAAAACCTCTTTTGACCACAGAAAATGAATTCCTCATTAGAGTCGCACTAACTCTAAAGCGGTGAACCTCTTCATAAATAGTGCACCTCATAGCAGCAATGTTTTCCAGTTAATGCAAGAACTGTGGTGCAAGAATAAGTTTATATGCTGCAGGCCAGGTCACCATCTGGTTTTTGCTGACAAAGCTCTACTGAAGCCGGTGCTGCTTCTCTGATTAACAACAGTGGAGATTTAGACCTGAAATAACCTTGAAATCCAGAAAGGGATTTCCTCATCCTGTCTTTATCAAAACCCTGCTGAAGTCAGTGGAGGTTTTCCTGTTGACTTCACTGTGATCCTTAGCCATTATTTTAGTGAGCACACGAGCCTGAACACAATGCTGCACAAGCACACTTACCCATTCTTCTCTAGATCCAAAGTCAGATCTTGTCCTTCTGCCTTTATCCTGACTTCAGCTCTGAATGGATGCTATGTGCAAAAGAGACAGTGTCTGTTACTCCTATATCATCATAAATACAGAAACAACCAGGCACATAGAAACTGGAACTGCCTTTAAACCGCTCCTCGCTGTCCTCCGCAGGTGAGGGCCTCCCCTTCAGTAGATATAAGGTGGGCAGAACTCAAGGAGCTGGAGGGCCAAGGAAGAGAAGCACCAGACCGCAATAGTGCCGACTCCACAGCCGCAACCCTGCAGTGCAGCAGTACGAGCACAGAGCCTGCATGCAGTTTGGCCACGCTGGTGGGATGTTGCATCTGAGCCAGCTTCCTCACTCTCTCAAGCTGAATGAGGAGCTCAGACATGGCACTAAGTCCCAGTGCTAGAGCTCTCTTGGAGGCAGCTGGATGGGTACGTCTGTATCCCTTTTCCTATACATCATGGGAAGTCTTGGGGCTTTGGTCTCAACCTAGAAATATAGGTCAGAAGCACGTCAGAGGACATCCCAACTTGCGTTAGAGGTTTACAAGTCAAATATGAGCTAGTTAGCAAAAGATTTCCTTGTTGTCACAGAAGCAAAGGGCATTTTTATAAACCTAGTTCAGGACAAGAGGAATCACATCTCTTTCAGAGATTTCCAAATAATTCCTTTATTCCGAATAAATGCCAATAAGACGTAGACGAGAGCATCCCTTAGACTCTTTTAGGGTCTAGCTATTTGGATGGTACATCATAGCAGCTCTAGTATTAGTCCCAGGCTACAAAGGGACTGGAAAACATGATGGCAACTTTCTAGCGTGTTCAAGGCACAGGATACAGCCCTGGCTTGCAGGCTGCTCACAGAGGACACGGGACAGCTGGTTCACGTGTCCTACTGCTGTTTACAGAAAAGACCTCAAGCACTGGAGAGATGAAAGCTGAAAGAGTTTTCCCACACGGGAAACCTTTGCAGCTCACATTACAAACAACAAGAAATTTTTTGAATATAACTGTCCATCATATACAATTTCTATATAATCTGAAGTCCAGGAAAACAACTGATCGTCTACTGAAACAGCTGATCTGCTCCACATACTGAGTGACTTACACTCACTGCCTGGGGAAAGCGTGAAGGAACCCTGCTGGAGTTGGCTTCAGGCCTGGATCTCCAGGAAGGTTTTAACATACCGTCTATATCACATTGAAAGACTTCTGATACGCAGTATACCTCCCAATTTACAGAGCACAGAAACAGCCATGCCTGTACAGATATCTACTGAAACATACTACTATCACTGTACACAAAATGATGTATGAGAACTTGCGTCTCTGATTGGTCTTTTCAGCCCATGTACTTAGCTAAAGAGCCTGTAGTAGTACAAATTTTCTAGAAGACACTTTTAGGAACCAAGACATTCCATTTCCATTATTAGACAGAGACAATTAAAAATAGAAGGACATAGAGTCAGCGATATAAAGTCAAACCAAGCACCCCATTCCTCAAAATGATGAATTTCTTAGTACAATGGCAAATACACACACTAAAACAAACATTAAAAAGAAAAAACATTCAAGAGGCTGAAAATAACCTAATAAACCTAGTAATGCCAACTGGAAGGGCTTATGGAGGTCTCTAAACTCACCTCCCTCTCAAAGCAGGACTACTAGATAAGGTCAGCTGGGGACTTCTGAGTCTCTGAGCATTTTGTTATAAAGGAAATGGATGAATAAACTCCTCAAAGGAGAAAGAATCCATTTGATAAGAACAGACTTCTCTATTCAACTGAGATTGCATACCCCCTTCAAAAAAAAAATAAATGATGGGAGATGATCAACCCATCCTATTTCCTTATTCAGCGTCAGAGGGGATTTTGCAGAACAAATCAACTGCGAGCAAAATTAGGCAAGACTGACTGAATAGGGCATTCTGTTAAAAGATCAGTCAGCCCTTGGACATATTTGGGTGTCACTTCATCAATTCTAAGTTCAGTTACAGACTTATTTCATCAGCTCCCTGTTGATATTCTGGTTTTCTGCCCATCTTTTCTTCAGTTTCTAGGCAGTGCATCAGGCCCATGCAGATGATGCAAGAGAAGTTAATACATTTAACATATAGGAATGGCTAAATTTGAGGGCTGACTTCTGGCTTACTTGAATTTGAGGTGCTCGGTATGCCTCAGGTGTCATCTGTTTCGCTAACATGCGAGCAACAGCAATGGAAGTTCCCTTACCCACAAGTTAGGGGGATTTGAGGGTCTCCATCAGCAAATCTCTTAATAAAGTTGTGCAAGCATGACTGTTATTGATATTGCTTTCTCCTCTCCTTCAGTAAGCCCACTACTTTGGAATCCATCGACTGCCGCAGCTGAATTATCCCAGCTGTAATAGTATGCAAGCTCTGCTAACACTGGTTTTGGAGCCAACAGGAATTGGCCTGAAACAAGCCAAGACCCCTGAGACCCAGCAAATTTATGTAAGGGCAAATGCTGTCCAGATGAATTTGTATTACTATCAATAATGAAGAGATTCAAGACTCTCAGACTGCATTGGAGGAACATTTTTAAGAGAATTAACAGCATCAGAAAATTATCATCGCTTTTTTCCTTATATGATGGAATAAAAGAACTTTAGAAATTCTCAGTGAAGACGCCATAAAACCAGGACTAGCAACACTTATTAGGAGATGCTGTTTTTTCCTCAGACTAATGCAATGGGTTTCCTTTATCTAGTTCACAGATAATTTAAATACTATCCGCTGGATTTTCCTCTCTCATTTGGTTATGTAACTGATAACTTCCTGAGAGCGGCAACATGACCGCTGGGAAGCAGAGCTGCAGTTTGTGGTTGATGTTGAAGCCTGGCATCCCACAGCTTCTCAGAACGGCTGCAGACTGTGCACACAGCCCTTAGTTCTTACACATAAGAAAAGCGGAGGTGGGATTCAGATAGCTACTCGTGGCATCTAAAACATACTTATCTTCCTCTGAGCTACTGGTTGGCTTATTTAGTACTCTCACACATGTGATTCTTCCCCTCCTTAAGAAGAAAGGGGTTGCTTCCTAAATGCCACTGATTGTACTACCTCAGTTCCCCATTGAGGAACACACAGATCAGGCGAGCTTGAAGGCGGGGTTTTAACGTGCGACAGAGGCTGCAGGGCTGTGTGAATGGAAGTGGTCAGGAGCAGCCTGCAGCCTCATGCTCAGTGCCTGAGGTTTGGTAATCACTTCTCCCAGCCTTTCTCTGGTTTTTGGAGAGAAGTACCAGCTCCCTGCTCTGCAGATGTTTTTCTGGCTTATACCTACAGCTTGTCAGCGAGTTTAAAGGACTGAAATGCACATCACAAGGTATTTTACTAACCAAGACAGTGTCCCTGCCCTGAAGGGGATGCAGTTTTGAAAACCAGACATAAAGCTCTCATCGCCCCAGCGCTGTGCACGACCTACCTTCTCGCTGCTGGGGCTCCCCACGGCTTCCCAGTGCGGTATCACCACCTGCTGCGGCAGCTCCAGCCCGGCGGCAACCCCTGCGGCTGGGGAAAGAAAGGACACGGCTGCTCGCAACCCAGACCCCATCCCGCCGGCCGCTGGCGGCTCGGCGCTGGGTTTAGGGGGTGCGGGAGGAGATGACCCCCCCCAAAGGGGCTCAGGAAGCAAAAAGCCCTTGTGCTCCCGCGCACCTAGCGTGCGGCCGTGCTTCGCCCTGCCCGGCGCGGCGGGGCCGGTGCAGCCGGGCTGCGAGGGTCCCCTCCCCAGCTGCCGCCCCCTCC